GGCTCTTAATTCAATAGATTTCAAACAAGATAGGCTACTGTATATGTGAGTTTATAAGTATTGTTTTCCATGGCTCTTTTTGAACCTTTAAGGGGTAAATTTGTGAAATTAATTTGGAAAGTTTGTGTTTGTGAGGGATGGTTTCAAAGACCTCTCTCTTCAGCCACCTCTCTGTGGTGGTGATGCTGATGACCTCTCGCTGTACCGTCCCCATGGCGCTGTTGCTGTGTTTAACACAATACTGTCATCTCAATGGCTCTTCACACACTCCTGATGCCCATGAGAACTAGGAAGTCCAAACTTGGCTAGACGCACTCAGCCAAAGGCCAGCAAGTACTTTAGAATCAATGCTGAAGGTCACCCTGTTGTTTGAAACCAGTATAAATGCTCATAAAAAAATCCCGTTTTTATTTTATCATTATCCTGACTGTACAGTAAATAAATTGTGGCACTAATATTAATATCTAGAGAACAGGATGATTGATGGCCAATATAATAGCAATGTTGATCTACATAGAATTGCTGAAATGTAATAAACACTTGTTTTACACTATTTCGATTCACTTATTAATTATTAGTTAACAACTGTCTATAATCTCAAAAATTACAAAAATTGGCCAATTAATCATGCTGGCCGGCTGCTATGTCAATCTATTTCTACCTGTAAACCAACTTTATTGATGGTGCTTTTTGCACCAAATTTTGATCTTGACCAATGGATTGTCATGTCATGTGACATTCAATCATGGCTATTTATGGGTTTCTTTTGTTTGCGATTTTCAATCACTTGTCCTTGTGTGATGAGAATGAACTCTATGGCAGTTTTGGGAAAAACTTTGCACTGGCACTGTTTAGGTGCTTTTTCATTTTTTTTAAGAATAATGTAGTTTTCCTAAAGATTTTTTCACTGCTGTTTACTAATTTCCAGATTGTAGTTTTGGTATCCATATGGCATCTTTGAAGTTTCCAACCCTGTCCTGAGTCAGAGTGATTTAGGGATGTTTATGTGTTTTAGCTGCTTGCAGATGCTGGATGACAATGTGCAGAGTGTGTTGCATAATGTCAGGCTTCATGAATATATCATCTTTGAGATTCTGAACGTTTAATAATTACTTTTGACAAGATGTTTACCTTTCAGTGAAGTAAATTGTTTAATTAAGTTCCCTAAGAACTTGTGATCTTTATCCACACCAAGCCTTTGAAGAAAACCAGTGAACGTTTCCATGCTTTAAGATAAACACATGTATTAATGTTTTAAATTTAGTCACAAGATAAAATCAAGTCCAGGATTCTCCTGCTTGATTCTGATAAAACCAAAAAACAATGGAAAGCAAAGCATGGGAATGCATTTGAGGTTCCAGAACACCATGTTATGTCAGTACCCCAGTATAGTTGGTTTTTACATCAAGAAACAGTTTGTTCGTCCAAAAATCTGAACGCACATTGTTTTATTTTAGCCTTCACAGGGTTTCGTAATTTTCCAGGAAGCACCGTTTTTGTGAATTATGTGGTGAAGGGCAAATTCTCAAGCCATTAGCTAGTTTATTATAGAAAGAAAGAAAAACTTTCTACTAGCTGCCAGCGGCCGTCCTGTTACACACACACACACACACACACACACACACACACACATCATGCCCACTCATAGCAGTTTCCTGTAGATATCTTTGCCATAAAAGGTATTGTAGTTTCCAGACTCTCAAACCAAGCCAATGTTTTGACCAAAAACCTGTATCATCCACTCAGCTCTAGAAACCCATCTGTGTTTGTGTATCAAACACTAAAATCACGTTTCTCAACATAGTTTTACAGATTGCCATTCCTGGCTCCACTTTGGTAGGGTTCACACTTGAGTTTAATCTGGTGTCACTCCACTTTTGAGGTATGTGCTTTGACTGATTTGCAAATAAGTGTAATATATAACAACAAAAAGCTTAAAGCTGTGAGATGTTTCTGTAATGTTGATTGTGTCAACATTGTGTGTTCAGAAGCGACTCTTTTATTTTGTAGAATGGAATTTAGGGAAGTCACTCCGATATTTATGTTTAGATGTCACTCCCAAAACTTTGCAGAATGTAAAGAAAACATATCGTCTTTGAATTCTGGACATTAAAATATGTCCGTTATTAGTCAGCACAGGGATGGGTTTTGCGGGAAGCAGAGTGTTTGAGCTCAGCCGCGCAGATCCATCAAAGGATCTGGGAGATGTTCAGATCTTCCAGCTGGCTCAAGCCTCAAGTTCAAATTCCTACCAGCTGGACCTGACAGCTGCCCGCTTGCTGGCTGGCATCACTTTCACTTGATAAGGATGGTTGATCCTTCAATGTAGATCCTTTATACTGATCTTAGATCAGTTGTGCAAGTTCTTTGTTAATACATTTCTGTCATGACAACTTTCTGAGAGTTTAGCATGGTAATATACTGCTACAGCAAGCACTAGCCAAGTATCTGAATGTTGAGCAGCAAGCTCATTGGCTGCTGATGTGAAAAGAAACCAGTCAGCTGTGACGTGAATAATGGTGTAATTTTATCAGATTGAGTTCAAACGACAAATGACAGAATTTAGATTTAGAGAAAATGTCATATTGCACCATGGCGCTTCGGGTGTCCAGAGTTCGAATCCTGACTCGCGGTCCTTTCCTGATCCCATATCCCTCTCTCCCACTTCACTTCCTGTCAACAATACTGTCCTTTTTTGTACGAATGTGTACGATGTGATTCATACAGAAATGTGTGATTTTTAGAAAAAAACAAAAACAAGCATATGATGAGATTCATAAGGAAACATGCTTTTTTGTTTGTTTGTTTGTTTTGAATGAAAAAAAAGCATGAGGGTCCACTTCTAAACCTAACCAGTGGGACACATACGCAGATCGTACGAAAACATACAAATGAGATTGTACGAATTACCACCAATGCCCTAAAACATAAAATGGTGAAATGGTTCTGGTTGGTTGTTTATCAAAAGATCCCAGCCAGGCCTTTGTTATTTTGGTTTCTAGATACGGTTTTGGTTCTTCAGCATAAGTTTGTTGGATGTCCATTTTATTGTCTGTCATATGCTGTTTTAATCATAATTTCAAGTATCATTAATTTCAAAAGCACTGGTGCAGGACAGGTTCTGCAATGTTTATTACCTCCTATTGTTCCCATTTTAATAATGAGGTGGCTCATCGTTTAGGGACAGTTTGTCATTGTTGAAAGAGGACCAATAAATATCCTCTTTTTTTGGTTCTTTCTCTTTATTTCCTTCATATTTAAATTTTTTTTTAGTATCTTTGACCACATTACCCAATCAGTAACTTGCTTCATGGTGTAAATTCCCGTGTTGATTTATCTCTGTCTTTTTCCTGTTTTACACGGAACACTAATCCTGAGTAGTTGAACGGAATGACGTCCAAATAAAGTTGAAGTTTACCAGACTCCCCACGCTCCAATGATGTTTGATCGGACCGTGCTTCATGATTGAACCCTTTTAGACCTTTGACACAAGTCAGTTTAAGACCTCGATATGGATAAGATCTTTCCCGCTCCGAAGCAATCCAGAATCCTGACATTCCCACAAACTGCTCCTTTGTCTTGGCTTCAATTTAAAAACAAAATATATGGACTTTGGTCTCTGAGATAAGTCCTCTTCCTGGTCCTTGATGGACCGTTGTGTGTGAAAAGAGGAACTGGTGAAGGTGGTCAGAAACTTGAGGTTGGGAATGAGGCGTTTACAGTATAGAGAGGCTTTAACAGGAAATCATGTTGGTGGATGAGCAATAAATTCAGGGAGTTTTATTGTGTGATGCCAAACGGCACTGTTTTAAGGCTAAAAGGAAGAAAAGAGTTAAAATGAATGAGCAGTAAAGAGAAATTCTTCATAAAAGTGCTTTAGTTTTCCACATAAACATAATAAATCCGAGAGGAGTTGAAGTGAGTGCAAGGAAAGGATGTAAATTCTTTATAACCTGTCTTTGCCTGTGCTCTCATTATTAGCTGTTTAATGCCCCTGTAACCTTTGTCCCAGCCAGCTGCGGGATCTGCCACAGCAATGCAATTCTGACATTTACATGTTAAAACTAGCACTGGAAGTACAAGTCTGTTTTGACACCTGAGTTTGAAACAGACAAGAAATGTGGGTTACTCCAAAGAAGCAAAACAGAGATGTAGATCTAGTTTTTGTCAGTGGAAGAATAATTTCTTGTCCTGATCTATTAATTTATTAAGAAAAAAAAAGAAAAAAAAAAAGAAATATATATTTAATATACAATGAATTGAATACACATATTTTGTGATGAGCATGCTTTTAATTTCTATATTTATTTTATTTAAATTTTTTAGGGGCCCTAAAGTTTAAAAAAAAAAGTCTAGTGGTACAACTGTTTTGGTTTTGATGACAAAAAAATAAGAAAAGAAAAATTAAGAAAAAAAATCATTAAAAGAATTCTTTAAAAGAAAAGCTTTTATAACTAATATTTTTTTATTATTATTGTTGTTTCTTAAAATAAATTATCTTCAGTGATTATTAATATTTGAAAAAGTTGTCCACCAAAACAAGTCATGTGGGGCAACCAACTTGCATAAAACAGGAAATGACATCATAGAGAGCACCCGTGCAGAACCTCATGACTTTTAAAATTTGAATACATTTTTATTATTAATATTATTTTTAATTTACTTATTTTGATGAGGCAAGGTCAGTTCAGTTCAAAATGTCATGTGGTGCAACTCCCCCAAATATGACTTTATATTATATATATAAAAAAAAAAAAACTTTTTCTAAATAATGAAGATGTGTACATGTTTCAAGTTATTAGGAACATATATTGTATTTTACTTGATAGTTACACCACATGACATCTTTAGTCTTGCCATTTAAACTGTGTTTGGGAAACATGTTTGAAAACCACTTGTGCATTTGATGGCACTAATGGCAAAAAAACACACACACACATATCGCGCACTTCACTCTGTGCGTCTCATCTTAATGAATCCCTCTTCTCCACTTCTTGCAGGAAATCCAAAACGAAGCCCAATGGAAAGAAAGTGCCTGCTGAAGAAAAGAAGCACTACATGGAGCCAGAGTACACAAAAGTGCGGGTCATGGACTTCGACCTGAAAGATTTGGTGGCGCTTCCCACCAAAGAGATCGACCTCAACGAATGGCTCGCCAGCAACAGTGAGTTCCCAAGCAAACATTACAGCTGCTATGAGTGTTTGTCTTGTATTTTGAGGCTTAGAATCTTTGTCCGTCTTCAAAAATAACCTTCTGTTAGTCAGGAGTTTGGAAATCAGTCGCATTTTAGTGTGTGAGCACAAAGCCTTTTTGCAGAGTATGACATTCTTAATTAGTAAATGCTGCAAAAATGCTAACAATTTTATTGTAAACAAATGTTATTTTCTGTTAAAATGGAAATGTCTTAAGGAAATAAGTGGTTACTAAATGCTGCTTGCTAACTAGTGCTCATCTTTAGGGTTAGTGATTTGAACAGACCCCTATCTGCAAGTATATTCTTCTAAGTGACTGGACTTATGATTTTTTTCATGGTGAACAATAAAACTTTTATTTTTGATGTTAGCATGTTGCTAAGCTAATGACAAGATAGGAAATAATGTATATAATAATATATATTTCCTGTTAAAAGGGAAATGTAAGTAACTAGTGCTCATCCTTGGAGTTAGTGATTTGGTCAAACTCCTAACCATTATTATACACTTCTAAACTTTCAAGTTTGATATCAGCATGTTGCTAAGCTAACCACAGGATAGTCAATTAAAATAAAACAGTACACACAAATTTCACTATGAACCCGATAGCGGTTTCAAATGCAGCTTGCTAATTGAAATGGCTAACTAATGATAATCCTTAGGGTTAATGATTTGAACAAACCCCTAATGAATTTCACCTAGTGAACAATAAAGCTTTTCACGTTTAATGTTAGCATGTTGCTAATCTAAGGATAATTAAATGAAATAAAAAAACAACATGGTGCACAGAAATATTGTGTGAAATAATGTTTTAATGTGTGAAGTAATGTTTGTGAAATAATGTTTACACAACTGTTATTTATTGATCATTTGTGGTATTGAATGAAATATGTTCATAATCGACATTTAATAAGTGTATAATCGAAATTTCTCTCGCCTCATCCACCGTCTTAGATTTTTTTCATCAAGCTTGTCACAGTGCATTTTGGGATTTTCGATTACGAAAACATGGTGTTTAATAACACACCAAAATTAATTTGCTACGTTTTTGAACAACCTTGCCGAAAAAATCTGCTAAAACTAGCTTAAAGAGTTAGTTCACCCAAAAATGAAAATTAGCCCATAAATTACTCACCCTCAAGTCATCCTAGGTGTATATGACTTTCTTCTTTCAGACGAATCCAGTTATATTAGTTATATTAAAAATCGTCTTTGATCTTTCAAGCTGTTTAATGCCACTCAGCGGGTGTTGCATGCATTAGTCCAAAAGCAGTTAATAAAAATCGCCCATCCATAAAAAAAAAGTGTCTCACACGGCTCCGGGGGGTGAACAAAGGCCTTCTGTAGGAAGAATGTTGGAGGATTTCGATATAAGCCAAGAGGAGACTGGTTTTCCTTTGCTAAAGTAAGGAAACTTTGCTTCCTTTGCTCCTGTTAACAAACGTTGGTTTTCACGAGACTCACCGGCACATGCGCAGTGCTGAACTCATACGTCATTCTCCCGGAACTGCTTCCATGTACAACTGTTGGCGCATGCTACATTAAAGTTTTGAATATGGATATTTATCTTACAAAAACGCATCGATTCGCTACAGGAGGCCTTTGTTCACCCCCCCGGAGCCGTGTGAGACACTTTTTTTATGGATGGGCGCATTGTATTTACCTGCTTTTGGACTGATGCATGCAACACCCGCTGAGTGCCATGAAACAGCTTGGAAGATCAAAGATGATTTTTTTATATAACTCCGACTGGATTTGTCTGAAAGAAGAAAGTCATATACACCTAGGATGACTTGAGGGTGAGCAATTTATGGGCTAATTTTCATTTTTGGGTGAACTAACCCTTTAAGCTGGTTGATTGGACCAGCTGACCAGCTTAAACCAGCTAAGACCAGCCAAGCAGCATAGCTGGTTTTGTCAGTTGTTAAACTTCACGCCATGAGCGTGACTGTGACATCTTAAAACGCTGCCTTCATAGGGAGCTTATTTGGTTTTGGAACAGAGTCTTCAGCTTTATTTATTCTGAAATATCCGTGAAAGACTTTTCATAACTTTTTGAATGTCACCTTTTAAAACTTTTCTTTTGTTCTTTGCAGCAACAACCTTCTTCAATCTGATAAATCTGCAGTATAGCACAATCTCAGAGTTTTGCACTGGGGACACATGTCAAGCCATGACGGCCTGCAACACGTGAGTTTCCCTTTCTCTTTCTTTCTTTTGCCTGTCTTTCTTGCTCTTTCTTCCTCCAGACATGTCCTGTGGCGAGAACCAGAACCCTCTTCTCACGAGAACTGCTTCTGGATCAGATATTTCTCCTATTCGCAATGTTTTTCCATTTTAAGATCAGATCCCAGATCAGCACACTAGCTTTGTATGAATCTGGGTTTGTGGATCTGATTGGGGTTAATGCATGACTGGAATGAAAGCTGACACACATCTTACTGAAGCCAGTGCTTGTTTGGCTTTCAGATGTGTTTTGAATGAGAGAATACAAGGGAGCTATTCTCAGAATTAGGGGTTTTGTAAGTCTGTTCGAGGTGGAACCAATTAAATGACCTTAAAGGCCTATAGTTGAATGTTCTCTCAGGCTGTTTGGGAAGATCAGAGGCCCGAACTTAAGATGAAAGAGATCAGTTATAAAATTACTTACGACAACATTTACCTTACAGCTTTAGTCTCTTGACCAGCACAAATTATTTTTACCCATTTTTAAAAGTATTGTGTCATTTAAATTTCCCAGTATGTCAATTTTGCGCATTCCCCTACCTAAAATTGTATCAAGTTCTCTATAATATATAGCAAGTATCCAGAAAACTTTGTATTTTAGCCTAATAACTAGTGTTGCTTTCGTCAACGAAAATTATGACTAAATATCGTCGTCAACAAACCTTTATCACGTGACGAAAACGAGACGAGACGCAATGTAAATGCTGGTCATGTGACGATGACTAAAACTAAATGTATCATTCATAATAATAATAATATTATTATTATTATATAAAATGATTTAAATAATTTATAATACACAATATAATTAAAGTATTATTGTTGTTGTTCTGTTGTTAAAAATATAAGAATAAATATAAATGTAAAACAAATAAATATAATATATTGTTTTTAATAATTTTTTTTATTAATATTACTAAAAATAATAAAATAAATATAAAATTAATGTACATTAATAATCAACAATAATTATTATTTTATTCTGTAATAATATTTCAATCTTTTTTTGTTTGTTTATTTTGAAGAATTTGTAATGTTTCTATAACAAAGATTTGCTGTTTCCAAAGCAGCTGTCATTACCATCATACTAAGCATTTTAGAGAACTGAATTTCTATAAAATAGTTTAAACTTCATTATGATGGAAATGATTACACCATAGTAAGGAATGTCATTGGCTTAGATTTTTTTATTTTGTTTATGATATGAGAGCAGCTTTATTACCAAAACACTCAGTATTTGAGTATATCTTCACAGAGTTAACTGTCCAAATAAGTGAACGATGTCATTACCATCACACACAATATTAATAATCCACCCTTATACATTATACCAAAATCCACTTGAAGGCTGATCATAAAAGTTTTATCATTTAACATGAAACGGATTCAAGAAGTTTCATTTTCAGATTTCAAGCATTCAAAAAAATGCCCGTAATTGTAGAACCACCCTTCTACAAGTCAAACGGAAAGACGTGCCTCCATCTGTACATTCCCACAGCTAACCGTGTTGACGTTAAAATCGTTGCTCGACTCGTTCGCCCTGTTTGGCCGCAGTGAAGCCTGGGTGTGAATCTCTAAAGACTGACCCTGTAGAACCAGAAGCATGACTATTCATGACAGATGTTAAAGGACGTGAATTACCAACACACAAAACACTAACAATTACACGCTCACCTCCGGCATTCCACGCGGGACAAGGGAAACACGAGCCTTATTTACCGTCACCGCGCCGCTCTGTCCATTGAGAAATCAATTACTGATCAAAAGACTTAAAGGGAGGGACAGCGATGCGCAAATAGACCTGATGTTCAGTTTATTGAGTTATAAATGTGGTCATATATGTTGAGGTATTATGCTTATGTGCGTTCAGTGGGTGTTTCTTGAAATACATACACTTCCATTTCCTATGGGTTGATTTTTATTGCATTTACATTTATTTTTCATCTTTTTCAAACTGTTTTAATGCCTAAATTGTATTGTCTTCCCCTTGTCCCAGACAGATTTTCTCCATTAAACTATGAAAACTTTTTATTTAAAAAAATAATAAATAAAACTATAATCTGAAGTAACAGTTAAATATTCAGTACTGATTTTGTAAATATTTATATAACTTCTTAAACTAATTATGACATCGTCATATTGTCATTTACACCATTTACACCTTGTCTTCCCCTTGTCCCAGACAGATTTTCTCCATTAAACTATGAAAACTTTTTATTTAAAAAAATAATAAATAAAACTATAATCTGAAGTAACAGTTAAATATTCAGTACTGATTTTGTAAATATTTATATAACTTCTTAAACTAATTATGACATCGTCATATTGTCATTTACACCATGACCGAAATATTAATGTGTACATTTTTACTAGTAAGAAAACAGTTTTAATAAAAAAAAAAAAGCTTCATATGAAATGTGAGACTTGATGAAAAATAAAGGGGGGAAAAAATCAAGGTAAACACCACTTGTGAACATAATATTTTGTAGTGTGAGAATTGTAACATTTTGAAAACATTAAAAAAAAAGAAAAGATTTTGCCATTTTATTCCAAAAAATTTTCAATATTTAAATTTTCACAATCTTTTAAACCAGATTTTTGTACAAATGAATGAATGAAACAATTAATAACAATTAATAAATATGATAAAATAAACATTTAGAAATGTTTTTTCCACTAAAATTTGAAAAAGTGTCAAAAATGACAAAAGTATCAAAAAAGTTCAGAAAATCAATGTTAGTTTTTATTTTTAAACACTTGTTTCTATTGTACATATTGTGCTAAAACACTCACTCATGAATATGCATAACCATGTTTAGATTAGTAGGCCTTTTAATCTGAATATTTCATGTTTTGTTGAAGAGTTTTATGCAGGTAGATTCAGTACTTGCACTTTTGTGTTTGGCTTTGGAATCCACTCTCAAATCTGTAACTCGAGCGTGTAGTTTGACGATATCTGAGAACACAGACACTCGCTAGCATTCAGCCCGATATTTACTCGTCTGTAGCGTCTGTGTTTACGTGCTAATTGTGCTTTAGTTTACCGTGACGGTTATTTCAGTTCAACGTTCAGCGATCTTTATTTCGTCCCGTTTGGTTTCATGTGTGGGCTGCTCAACCGTTGAATGATCAGCGTTGGTTTGCGGTCAGCGGCTCTCTGCTGTGAGGTCAGTTATGCGTTCAGTTTGCATTCCTAGAGATTTGTAATGTCTACAGCCCCTCGAACCCACGCTACCCTCCCAAACTCGCTGTCACGATGGCCAGTCCTCCTTAAAATGCTGATAGGAGCTGTACGTTTTTTTAAACCATAAATTGTTCACTTTGTCCTGAAGTGCTCGAAATGTGAATAAGTTAATTTTGACTCGTTGTCTTCTTCTTTTACAGCATATACTACTGGTATGACGAGAGGGGGAAGAAGACGAAGTGCACAGCACCTCAGTATGTTGACCTTGTCATGACTTTCGTGCAGAAATTAGTGACGGACGAAGATATCTTCCCCACAAAATACGGTGTGTATAATCACTGCCCTCTAGCAGTCATAATACAGAAGTACAAGAGTTTAGATTCAAGTTCCTTAGATCAGTGGCGCCCTCTAGTGTTCACAGAGGAGAACGAGTTTTGTGAATAGAATTTCTTCTGGCTCTCTTCTGGATTCAACTTGTTAGGAAATGAAAATGAATACAAAATTTGTGCCGGTTTGTTTTAAATTTAATTTATTGCTTGTAATTTAAAGTAAATAATAATAAAAAAAAAAATATTTTGGTTTAATTAATATACAAATTAGTGTTATTTTGTTTAACAAAGACTAAAACCATAAACAACGTATTACTTTATTAACCAAAATAAAATATTTACTTTTTATTTCAACTACAACATTTGTCGTTTTCATTTTAAGTTGAAATACTAAAATAACTAAATCTAAATAAATGAAACCTTAATAAAAATTATAGAATAAAAACAGACACAACAAAATGACTAAAACTTGTATATTAAATTGAAAACTGAAAATATAAAAATAAAATGTAATTCAAAATATAAATGAAACTCTAATAGTATATTAATAAAAGTAAAAATCATTATAAATCATTGTAAATAATAATAATAATAATATAAATTAATTTTTTGTAATCCAAGATATTTTGAAACATCAGTTAACAATTGATTTAATTACAAGCAATAAATTACATTATTCATTTCCTATTTAAACCTGATTATTTCTTTTAATAGTATTTTTTTTAATTACTTAAATTTTCATTCAATAAATGCAATGAATTGAAAATGAATGACAAATAATAAATGACTTTATTTGATTATTTCCACATTTGTTGTAGTGTTTGAAAAGGCCTGCAAAATATTATAAATACCTTTTATTAAGGTTTTAGTGGGTAATCCTAGCATGTTGTTATAATAATCATTTTATTAAAGTGATTATAATAATTTATCGTTTTTATTTACTTTTAAATTCTTTTCATTAAATAACAATCAGTGATAAATGCTGAATGATAAATATCTCGATTTCCTTTCAGGCAAAGACTTTCCCAACTCGTTCGAGTCTCTGGTGAAGAAGGTCTGCCGGTATCTGTTTCACGTGTTGGCTCACATCTACTGGGCTCACTTTAAAGAGACGGTGGCTCTGGAGCTGCAGGGACACTTGAACACACTGTACGCACATTTCATCGTCTTCGTCAGAGAATTCAACCTGGTCGAGCCCAAGGAGACCTGCATCATGGACGACCTGTCGGAGGTGCTGTGCGCCCCCCTGCCGCCCCATACACACAACCACGTGACCGAGAGATGAGCCTCGAACTCGAGGAAGACGACGGAACGTGCGAGGCCTCTTTGGAAGGGCCCCTGCGTCACTATTTCTCACCGTGAGAACTGTTCAAAAGATGGGTCCGAAGGCCGGTGGTCTGCAGTTCTCGTACCAGCACAGATTGGTGTGAATGTTTCCTACAGGACGAAACAATCTGTCTACATTCTCATTTATACAGGAACAATTTATATTTTAATTTGCATTTTTATTATTATTTTTGCGCATGCGCTCGCGGAGGTTTTCGTTTTCTTTTAGGGAATGGTGTTTCAGCTCGGCTCTCATCAGTGCCTTAGATTTGTAGCTAAGGTATTGTCTGTTTATATGCAACAATGTTTCGAAAGTTATCATTGGCCTCTGGCTCCCCCTTGTGGAGGGAGTGACGTCACACACCGACTGAGTGTTTATGATCTCTGCAGCCTTATTTCACATAAAACTGTACCGGACTAGCGCAAAATCTCTCTTTTTCATATTCTAGCCATCATTATCCATTTCTTTATGTTCTTTAAATCATTTACGATGGTTCTATATGTACTTATTAGCCTTTTAAGATGATGTATAAAGGGTTTGATGGTTTGAATGATGCTTTAGAGAAAGTCTGGACTTGCTTTGTAGGTTTCCAACAAGGATATCAGCGATGTCTGCTCGCTCAGAGAGACGCTGCATTGTTGCATGGCAGTTGACTTTGACTGTGTTGCATTGATGAGCACATCCTCCAGCGTCGCAACCTTTTATTTTTTATTTCACGTTTTTATTCTTAAGTTATCAGAGGTCATGGATATTGTGGCGGCCCACGTGTGTAGAAAATGCACATTAATTTTCTGTTTCTCAAGAAATAGATTGTAACTATATAAGAAATCACAATAATTGCCTTTAGCGAGAGAGCATCTCTCCTCCTTATTTATTTTTACTTTTTTATCTATTTGCAGAGTTACTCAGTTCTTGCTTTCTTTTTATGTATTTTAATTATCTTAAGTTAAAAGCCACTTAATATTTTAAGCTCTGCGAAATATAATCAGATTAAAACAAGAAATGCCACGTTACCTCGGTGTGTTGTGTTTACTTCATTACTGAGACAGGAAAAAAATCTGAAATCACAAACTTCCCTACTATATAGTAGGCAAAAAACAGTATGTGAAAAAAGAAATATGTCCGAATTCACAGTAATCATAAAAGAGTAGGCAAAAAGTACCCGGTTCTGGCGTGATTCTGAAGTGTGCATATGATGGACACTTTACTATCCCATGAGGCCACAGGAGAGGATTTAGGAATGGCAGTGACGTGACGCAACTGGCGCTGGTAGGTCATGTGACAGTAACAACATGGTGACTGTAGTAGGCTACATTCAGTTAAAGTTCATACTAGTGATGGGAAACCGAGGCTTTCTGAACCGTTTGAGGCTTTCATCAAATTGTGCAGAAAAATCATTACTCGAAGCTTTTTAACACCGTACGCATTAGCGACATCTGGTGGTCAGACTCGGTTTCTCCAGCCTTTCTATCGAAGTAGTAGTTGTTTGATTCACGAACAGCTTGTAACACTCCAAAGAGAAAGGAAAACTTGAAATCGCATCATATGACCCCTTTAAATGTTTTACACATTAATAAATATGTTGTGTTTTTGTGCAGCATCACCTGAATAGAATGGAAGCCTGTTTCAGTCGTGGAATAATAATAATAAAGTCACAATTACTTTTTAAATTTTTTATCTCAGATTTGGACTTTGTTTCCTAAAACTCTGAAAATAAACTCAGAATTCTGATTTCTTTTCTTGTAATTCTGCCTTTTTTTCTCTCAGAATTGCAAGTTTTGATCTCACAATTTTTTTTTTTTTTTTTTTTTTTCCAAAACAGGAAAAAAAGATGTGCAATTAGCTGTATTTGTTATTCCGTGGCGGAAACAGGCTTCTGTGGAATGGTGCATGCACATGAGATGAAGATTGTATTTATTATAGTTTTCTATAAAACGTTTTGAATTATGTGTATGGTGCGGGTCGCCCCTCAATGTTTTTCACCATGTTGAATTGTCACGACTAGGGATGAGCATATCGATCCTGAACTATTGATATATCGATACTGATGCGAGTATCGAAAGTATCGATTCTCAAATAAAACAATATCGACATTAGGTGTTTTTTTTAACCAGTGATTTCGTTTATTTAACAAAAAATTTAATGCGTACAATATGCATTGAATTGGACGAATTATTGTGTAGGATAGAACTATTTTCCTGCTCATCTGATCGCAAATGATGCAAGACAGAACTTATCAATCACAGAGAGCGTTAAGACTGGGGCTGCGTTTCCCAAAAGTGTCATAAGAAACCATTAATGCTTTTGGGAACGCAGCCCAGGACAATTCTTATAAGAGGACAGAAAAAAAACCTGTATGTTTGAGTTATTTCACAATAAACAAATTGAAATCGTAGCCTACATAGTTTGTGCAATTACATTTAATTTGAATGTAAAAATGTCATATTGATCATACTGTTAGTATACTGTATAAATCATAGCTGTCAGAATTAGGGTTGCATTTTATGCGTAGGCTACAACAGCTTTTCACTGGCAGTCCCTTATGAAAATGAACCATGGTTTTACTAAAGTGATCATATAGTTCAACTATAGTAGTATTTGTAGATTTCCATGGTTACCACTACAGTAAACATATTTTAAAGCTGCAGTGCATAACTTTTTTTTCGTTAAAAATTATCCTAAATCATTATTTGAGCAAGTACATAACCAGCCAGTGTTCGAAACTATCGCCTTACTTTAGCCCGATTCACAACGGTTAGTTTATAATAATGTTTTCTAATTTGAGTGGTACGGGTAGGTTTTCGCGGGAAATTCGAGCATGCTGCTGCGTCATTACGTCACGTCTGTAAACATAAAGAAGTTGTCCCGGCTACTAAGCTATCGCATGTGAGGATCCTGCAGGTGGCCGATCGTTTATAGCCTTTTCTCACAGCAGCTAGAATAATTAATTTTATCATTTTGATGGCGTATTGTAATCCAGAAAGGATTATGTGTTTATGAAACACATGTGAATGAAATTAAATTATATTCCAGTTTTAAATGTGCTTCTGATTACAGATAGCCTGGGATTACAAAGATTTGTATTTTAAAGAAAACCAGTTCGAAGGGAGCATAATTAGCTTTTTGGGTTAAAA